TAATAAAGGTTTGTTTTGTGATGTAACTCGCCTTATGGAAAATGTAACTCACGTAATGGTCAACGTAACTTACGTGTAGGCAAAATGTAATTTGTTGAGACAAGTCTAAAAGTAACTTGCACATCAAGTGATGTAACTTGTGCATAAGAAAATGTAACTCGCATATAAGAAGATAAAATTCACGCATTAGACGATGTAACTCGTACACATTGAGATATATATCGCACATAAGAAGATGTAATTATATATACTATCAAATGTAACTCCAGAAATAAAAATAAACAAACTCAATTTCTTAAAACCCCTCTAAAAACATATAAGAGAGATAAAAATATGCTATATAAAAAAGTGTATGGATATAAAAGAAATACAAAAAATATATGAATATAAAAATATTACATAAATAAAAATAGTGTATGAGTGTAAAATGCAATATACTTATTTTATTTAGATTAATAAATTTCTTGTTATGAAATGATAAAGAATAAAAACAAGCATGAGTTGTAATTTAAGTTTAAGATAAAGAAAAGTAAAATTACAATTAAATTTTTAGTACTTTAATTTAATGTAGAAAGAGAAGAAAAGAAAAATAAAGAAGAAGAGTCGAGGAAAAAGAAAAATGATGTACATCACTACTCCAGGGAAGAAAAAGAAAGAGTGAAATAAGTATTAGTGAGATTTGTACACCGTCCGCACGGTGTAACTATCCCACAATATAATTTGTTCAAGTATAACTAATTTATAGTTCTTTTCACTTAAACCCTTTGGTAAAAGTAGAAGAGTAAAAGCCTTCAAATTTGATGATATTACTAATTTTATAGTTGAAAGTCTGATTTTCTATTAAAAAAACTAGGCTAGTTAGTTATGAAGTTACATACAATACATTTGAAAACAAGATAAAGGATTATGATATGTATGCTATATCCAAAAACAATCTCCCCCAATAAAGCTATACTTCAAACTTTTAAAAACACATATCTAATCCTATACAAGAAAAATGTCTTATAACTTTCGGTTGTACCCGTTATTTACACTATAATCTTTCTCATTTGCTGATTTGATCTAGTAATTACAGAGATATATGTCATTCTAACATATCCTTTTAGTAAATGTAGAAGAGTAAAAGCCCTTAAATTTGATGATAGTACTGATTTTAAGAATTAATTTAACATTTGGTCATATGAATTTTATGTCAATTCCACATTTACTTCATGTTTTTACCTTTGTTCATTTTTTGTACTTGACCAATGTTTCTTGATCATTTTTGGTCACTTTGCAGTAAATTTAATTACCTGAAACAATGACGGAAAGACCATATATGGTGAAAACACTATAGTAATTTGTGGTCAAAGTTTAAAACGTAGACCAAATTATGGAATTGGTGTGATACTCATAGAACCAAAAGTGTAATTTATTTCTAATTTTATAGTTAAAAGTACTCCCTCCATATTTTAATGTTCACTATAATAGGTTTGGGCATATTATTTAAGAAAGAAATAGTAGGGGTAATGAATAGTGTATAAAAAGTATGAAAGAAGGTATAAATATATGAAAGAGAAGAGAAAAAGTAGAAAAACAAGGATAATTGAGTATTTTTAAAACAAAAATTAATCAAAAACGGGAAGTGTAGCAAACTTTTAAATAAATACAAAAAAGGGTAACACACTAAGCTAGTTAAAAAGGTACATACAAATATATACGGAGTAATACATTTAAAAACAAGATATACGTAAAAGGCTAAAACGTTTAAAAGCACATAAGTAATCCTAAACATAAATTAAAAAAATGCATCTCATAACGTTGGATTATACACGTTATTAGTTTGTATATTTAAGAAATTTTCTCATTTGCATATTTGATTTTTTGTAACTAGTAAATACATAGTATGTGCAATTTAAGAAAATTTTCACCAAAGTACAAAGTACATTTTGTTTTGCATAAAACTCACCACCGTCAATGTCTTTCTGCCTTTCTGGTATTTATTCCGCAAAGTGTACTTCCCCCTAATTATTACTCCCTCCGTCCCCTTTTAAATGTCTCATTTTACCATATTAGGATGTCTCTATTTAATTTTCTCATACCTTATTTGGTAAAGTTTGTGTGACTCAAAATCATTCTTACTTTATTCTTACTTTATCTATTAATATCAACCACACAAACCTACTTTTCTTAAAACTCATGTCACCCTCTTCCGGGACATTTAAAAGGGGACGGAGGGAGTATGAAGTATATATTTATAGACTCTAGCAGGGCCGTAGATGAGGCTGTGTAAGCTGGGCTACTGCATAGGGCCTCCAAAAATAGCAGGCCCATTTTTTAAAAAATTTAAATACTACTCCCTTCGGTCCTAAATGAAATTCACCCTTTCCTTTTTGAGTAGGTCCAAAATAAACTTCACACTTCTTCTCCTTTCCTTATTTGGCAAATTATCTACATCAAAACAGTGCAAAATAGTGTCAAACAGTGTCATAACGGTGTACTCTACACTAAAGTCAAATTTATTTCCTTAATTTGTGTGAAGTCAAAGTGTGAATTTCATTTGGGACCGGAGGGAGTATATATATATATATATATATATATATATATAAAGTAGAGAAATATTCAGGTTCGGATTTCCGGACCAGAACCGCTGTTCGGACGGTGGCGTTTCAGTGTCTTGCTGGTCGACTTTTTTGATGAAATTTTTATGACATGTTCTTCATCAAATATAGTTTATCCAAGAAAAAATTCAGCTAAAAGTTCAATCGGGAAGATCGTCAAATAATTTTTGGAATTTAATTGCGTTTTATATGTATATTCTGGCGCAATTATCTTTCAAAAATCATATGACAGTCTTTCCGATTGAATTTTTAGCTGATTTGTTTTGTAGATAAACTAGACTAGATGAAGAACATGGCATAAAAATTTCATTAAAAAATTTCACCAGGAGGGACCCCAAACGCCGCTGTCTCGACGGCGGTTCCGGTCAGGAATTCCTGACCAGAAGAGTACTCTATAAAGTACGTAATTGCTTAAATTACTAATAGGAGCCCATTTGCATTTTTGAAACACCTTTATACACCACACCGAACGGCCCAACTCCAAATAAAAGCAAACAATACATCTACACATTAGATCTGTGCATTTTATTTAATAAAAGGCCTCATTTGTGTGATTCACACCGGGTCTCTTAATGTGTCAAGCCGGCCATGGACTCTAGACAAGTTAAAAAAGAAATTCAAGTCTACATTAAGAGCCCGATTGGTAATACCGTAATACCCAAATTGGTTGAATCTGCTGAAATTTATGAAGTTCTGGTTGAAATGGCATGATTGGATGATTCTATTGATTTGCACAAAAAATTATACTTTAAAATATATTTTGTTAATTAAATAAAGAAAAAATAATATGAAAATTGCTAAGATGATCCTCTACAGTAACTTTAGTCAACACAACCAGAAAAGTAACATCAACCTTACTTTTTCTTTTTGTTGCACAATTCAACGTGAGAAATAAAAAAAATACTACCTCTGTCCCTTAAAACTTTGCCAAGTTTGACCGGCACGGAGAATAATAAAGTAAAAACTGTGTGGTTGAGGTTTGTGAAGAGCAGAGAGAAATAACATGAACCACAAGATAATTGATTAAAAGGATAAGTGGCAAAGTTTTTTGGGACGTCCCAAAAAGGAAAGATGGCAAACTTTTAAGGGACGGAGGAGTATGTGTTTAATGAAAAAATTAGCTCACAAATCTGATAACCTGAAAAACATGGTCACCAAGCGAGCTCTATATGCACCCATTTTCTAAAAGTTTGTCACACCCACATCCATTTTCTAATCTAATTTAGTGTAATATGATATGTGTAAGATATAAATCTGATGTGTTCTCCAATCGAAACGTGTCTCATTTATAAACGGTTCGTATACGGTGCAACCGGCCCACCTTGAGCATCATGCTCCACTCCCAAAAACGACGTAGGTTTAAACAATTTTAAAAAAAAACGTGTGAACAGTACACGCGTGAACAGTCACGCGTGTACAGTAGCTATTTTTTTCTTTTTGGCCCAGTAACATGAATGATGTAACTCACGTGTAAAGATATTTAACTCGCGTTATTGATAAATGTAACTCAAGTCCGTTCGAAATGTAACTTGTCAAATACATAGTATAAGAAATAAAATATTGATTTCAAAGTAAACAATGAAAAGTAACACTCTAATTACAGAATTGCTTTAGGTAAAACGGGAATATATTTTGTTTTTAATATCATGGCCATAATTTTTATTAGAAAAAATCATTTTTTTGTTTCAATAGTAGGGGTTGATTTCTTAATGTAACTCGTGTTATTGCAAATGTAACTCGCGTTGATGGCAAATGTAACTCGTGTTATTACAAATATAACTCGTGTTGATAGCAAATGTAATTTATGTGTATACAGAATGTAACTTGCTGGAAAATTAAACAACGATTTTTTGTGTGTTTGAGATGTTATAAACATTGATTTCAATGTAAACAGTGAAAAATTGATCATAATAGCTTAATTACTTTTTTATAAATAGTAAATATTCCGTATGTTTTATTTTTAATATTAGGGCAATAAAAATTATATATCTAGAGTTTATTCCGTGGTGTAACTCACATACATTAAGATGTAACTCGCGTATATAAAGATGCAACTCACGTATATTAAGATGTAACTTGGGCAGAAGAAGATGTCATTTCATGATATATTTTCAAATTTAACTTCAAGAATCAAAATAAACAAACTCAATGTCTTAAAAACCTCTCAAAAATTATAAATTCGGTAGTAATTTCAATTGAAGAAAAAGGAAAAACAAAGTAGTGTATGATTATTATTTATTTTTTGGCAAAAGTAGTGTATGATTATTAATGCATTGTACTTATTTTATGTGGATTAATAAAATATTGTAATAATTTTTTAAAAAGAAGTTAATTGATCAGTTATAATTAAATTAGTTAAAAATAAAGATAAGTAAAATCACAATTTTGATGAAGGTGTGAAAAGAATTGAAGAAGATAAAAGAAAAGTAAGGTGAAAGAAACAGCATTCCTGGAACATTGTGGATGACTTGAGAGAAAATACAATGAGTAGATTTGAGGGAATTTGGAAAAAGAAGGAAAAAATAGCATGCCCATGGTATGCTGTTATGCTAATTGATTTCACTTTCCTCATTTTAAATTTGCAGCAAATGGATCGAAAGGAATGCGTAGCAAGCCAGCATACTTGGATAACTGGATGCTCAACAACTCTCTCTTGGCCGATGGCGAGTCAGCGTTTCAAGTTACCTTCGAGTGGACTGAAGATTTCGGAATTCCGGGAGCATTCAATATCCAGAACAATCATCCCAGTGAGTTCTTCCTCAAAACCCTAACCCTTGAAGATGTTCCCAATCATGGCCAAGTCCACTTCATATGTTATTCCTGGGTTTATCAATCCAGCAAGTACAACTACGACCGCGTCTTCTTTGCAAACCAGGTATGAACTTCATCTTCGACCGTTGATTTCCATAATGTTCTTTGTTTCAATGTCAAGTATCTTTATGGATTTCAGTTTGTGCTGAAATACGTTTTTTATTATTTCCGTATATTTGATTAATTTGAATCTTTACTTGACTGACTCGGTCTGTGAATTCATGTAGGCGTATCTACCTAGCCAAACGCCTGCATCGTTGCAGAAATATAGAGATGAAGAATTAGTGAACTTGAGAGGAACAGGAACTGGCGAGCTTAAAGAATGGGATAGAGTGTATGACTATGCTTACTACAATGATCTTGGTGAGCCAGACAAGGGTCCAGAATATGCTCGGCCAGTCCTGGGTGGGAATTCGGAGTATCCTTATCCTCGACGAGGAAGGACGGGCAGATCACCAACAAAAACGGGTAACACATCAATGGTTTCAAAACTCTCATTCCCTTTTTTAAACCGGTTTTTGTATTCAGCATGTTGTTTTTAACTTCCCTTATTGCCTTTCCAGATCCTAATACTGAGAGTAGGATTCCCCTTATTTCGAGCTTGGATATTTATGTTCCCAGGGATGAGAAATTCGGACATGTGAAATTGGCTTACTTTCTTCCTTATGCTTTGAAATCTCTGGTCCAATTCCTTCTCCCCGAGTTTCAGTCTCTGATTGATTCTACACCAAATGAGTTTGATACGTTTCAAGATGTACTTGACCTGTATGAAGGAGGGATTAGACTGCCGCAAGGGAACTTGCTCAAAGCCCTCACAGATAACATTCCCATTGAGATTCTGAAAGAAATTCTCCGTAGTGATGGGGAGGGACTCTTTAAGTTCCCAACCCCACAAGTTATCGAAGGTATTTGTAAAGCTTCTGTTTACATCCTTATGGTATATAGTTCTTGTTATACATTCATAGTCTCTAAATTGTGGGTGTCAAAATAGAGGATAAAACTGCATGGAGGACGAATGAAGAATTTGGAAGAGAAATGCTTGCTGGAGTGAACCCTGTCATCATTAGTCGCCTCCAAGTAAATGAGCTTCTTTAAATTATTTAAAGTTCTTGACAAATGAAAATATACACTGGTGACTGAATCTTCAGTTAAAGGTAAAAGATGAATCCTTAAGTTGTTCACTATTTTTATGTGCAGGAGTTCCCACCAAAAAGCAAACTAGATCCTAATGTTTATGGTGACCAGACCAGTAAATTTACCAAAGAGCAAATCCAAGACAACTTAGATGGTCTTTCAGTTGAGGAGGTAGTTTATATTTTGTTTGTTTGTTGTACTCAATTTGTAAAACTAATTGGCTGTCCCATTTATCAAGATATTAATGATATGTGATGCTATTGGTACAGGCAATCAAGACTAACCGGTTATTCATATTGAATCACCATGACACGATTATGCCATATTTGAGGTGCATAAACGCAACAAATAACAAAATATATGCCTCAAGAACCTTGCTTTTCTTACAAAAAGATGACACTTTAAAACCTCTAGCAATTGAACTTAGCCTGCCGAATCCACTCGGAGATGAATTTGGTGCTGAAAGCAAAGTGTACACACCAGCTGAACAAGGGGTTAAAAATGGATTATGGCAATTAGCTAAAGCTTATGCAGCTGTGAATGATTCAGGTGTTCATCAGCTACTCAGCCATTGGTATGTATTTTTTTGATTTATTAATTTTCTGTTAAAAATTAAGCTTTTTTTGTTATTCGATCTATTACCTATTCTGTCAATTTTGATTTTGAATGCCTGTCACAGGTTGAACACACATGGAGTAATTGAGCCATTTGTAATAGCAACTAATCGGCAATTGAGTGTGCTTCACCCAATACATAAGCTTCTACATCCCCATTTTCGTGACACAATGACTATCAACGCTTTGGCTCGCCAGATCTTGATTAATGCTGGTGGAGTTCTTGAGAAGACAGTTTTCCCTGGAAGATATGCCATGGAATTGTCAGCCGTAGTTTACAAGGATTGGGTATTTACTGATCAAGCACTCTCAACTGATCTTGTTAAGAGGTATGCCATGATTCCCATATCAATGTTTTTGTCTTGTCTTACTAATGCCATGTATACAAATCATAACCCGGATGAACAAATTGTAGAAGAATGAAGTTTTTTAAAATGATGAAAAAATATCCCAAATACTTCCGTATTTTGAGGTCTTTGAAGGGTTTTGATATTTCTCTAGGAAATATTAAAAGAGAACTTGTGAAGTATTAAGAAATATTGAAATGTACTGCAATATTTTAGTACTCCCTCTGTTCCTAAATAAACTTCCAACTTTCCCTTTTCGTTCGTTCCAATTAAAACTTCCACCTTCCCTTTTTAGTAAAGAATTTGTGGTTCACAACATTTCTTACACATTTCTCTCGCCTCTGCACAACTCTCCACTACATAATACCCACTATCTTAAACTGTGTGCCAAACCTATTTGGAAGTTTTAATAGGAACAGAGGGAGTAACTGTCAGTATCAAAATATATATCTGATTTATTACTCATTATTTATAAAAAAATTACAACATGTGATCCCCCCAAAAATGCCAATAATCGAAATATCCCTCGATTTCTCCATAAATTCGAAGTATCAATATGTTATCGGTTTTTCATTATTACAATTATGTCAGTAAAAAGGCTAAATAATTCAGTGTCATAATATAGCAATGCAAGTCATTGAATAGTTACTGTAAATGATATTTAAGAGGTGTGGCTGTTGAAGACTCAAGTTCCCGACATGGTGTTCAGCTGCTAATCGAGGACTACCCATATGCTGTTGATGGGCTAGAAATATGGTCATCTATCAAGACATGGGTCAACGAGTATTGCATGTTGTATTACAAATCAGATGACATGGTTCAGAAAGATACTGAACTACAGGCTTGGTGGAAGGAACTTAGAGAGGAAGGACATGGTGATTTGAAAGACAAGCCATGGTGGCCTAACATGCAGACAGTCCAGGAGCTGATCGACTCATGTACCATTATTATCTGGATAGCCTCTGCCCTTCACGCCGCAGTTAACTTCAGTCAATATCCTTATGCTGGTTATCTCCTGAACCGCCCAACATTGAGCCGCAGATTCATGCCGGAGCCTGGAACAGATGACTATAAGGAGCTTGAAGCTGACCCAGATAAGGTTTTCCTAAAAACAATCACTCCCCAGCTGCAGACATTGCTCGGTGTTTCCCTTATTGAGATCCTGTCAATTCACGCTTCAGATGAATTGTACCTAGGGCAGAGAGAGTCCCCTGAGTGGACAAAGGATCAGGAAGCACTTGATGCATTTGCACGATTCCGAAATAAGTTGGGTGTTATTGAAGATAGCATTATGAAAATGAACATGGATGTAAAGCTGAGGAACAGGACAGGACCTGTGAAAGTGCCGTATACCTTACTCTTCCCTACAAGTGAAGTCGGTCTCACCGGCAGAGGCATTCCAAACAGTGTCTCAATTTAGATGGAGCTTCCGAATTCTGTATGCAGGATTACATTTGGATTGTTGATATGTGTCATTATTTCTTCAATAAATTTATCTCAGGGTGGATTATGCATGTTCTTGTGTGATCCGTTATGGCTAAATAATTGAGTTAAGAATGAATGTGGTTTGGAATTGAGTTGAGAATGGATCTCTATTTAGAAGTGTATTACACATCTTTTGGATGCTTTACATTATGTAATCTCTATACAGAATGGAGTATATGGCATGGAGTATATGGCCCAGGAACCCCTGGCCCACATACTTCCACTACTGCAATCAGGCTCAACAGGTCCAAATGGGCCAAGCCCAGCAAACAAGACTCCAGGCAGCCCATAATACGCAAGGGGGAGCCTTCGGCCCCATGCCCGAAGGTTTAACATTCATGAAATCAAGTCCAGAAACATCACAGGAGAACAAGACTCGAAATACAAGCCTTCGTCACATAGAGCCTTCAGCCACATGGAGGCCCCGACACATAGAGCTTTTGACCACATGGAGGCCCCATCACATAGAGCCTTCGGCACATGGAGACCCCTGACACAGAGGGCGTTCGGCCACATGGAGGCAAATCTTCTTCTTCATCTCTCTCCTACTTCACCACCATCTCTTTCATCTTCTTCATCAATACCTCAGATCATTTCCTTTTCCTATTACTCTAATTTTTTCTTCCTTTTTTCTTTCTTCTCTAGTTATCTTTTTCTCTTTTATCAAAATATTAAGAATTTAATCATAAATCATTTTTTTTTCTTCTTCATTAATTCAAAACTGAAGTTTTATTAATTTAAAATAAAAATTCATGTGTATTTGAAGGCATGCAACTTTTATTTAAGGTCTATCTTGTTATTAGTTTATGTGATTAATATTTGAAAGTTTATGATGCTCCATAAATTACATTGCCAGTAATTGAGATTACATTTCTGGTAATGCAAGTTACATTTGTGATTTGTCACTACTTAAAATTACATTTTGCAAGTTACATTTGTCACTACTTAAAATTACATTTTTAGTAACGTGTGATACATTTGTCACCACGTGGGGTTACATTTTGAGTAACGTGAGTTACATTTTTTATGTATGTCATTTAAACTGCCCTTGCTCTTTGTTTAAACGCAAATATAGCCCTGATTTTTTTAAATATATCATTTTTATAATCTTAATATTAAAAACAAAATATATTCACTATTTACGTAAAATAATTGAACAATTAGACTCCATTTTTTCACTGTTTACATTGAAATTAATTTTTTATTTCTTATACTACATATTAGACAACTTACATTTTGATATGCCCCAAGTTATATTTCCCATAAATATAAGTTACATTAACATAAATGCAAGTTCCACCATCTTGCTATTGAAACAAAAAAACACTATTCATACACGTTTTAAGTACGGAAGTATAATGCTCAAAGTGAATTGCTCCAACCGTATAACAACTAGGGATGAGCAATTGAGCATGTGACGATACGGTACGGTTATTTTGAAAAACATGTCCCGTCCTAAAGTACGGTTCTTTTAAAAATCAAAGATCTGGTACTGTCCCATATATACATAGAACCTGTCTGGTTCCATAAAAATTTGCAGTACAGTTTGGTACGATTTTTCAGTACTATTCGATTCATAAATAATTAATTCCCACGAAATCAAAAAAATTTAGGTTTTAGCATTTATAAGTAATTATACAAGATTTAAGAAAAGGAACCGCATGATTGACAAGTCTACGTTAAACTAAACTTGTGAAATCAAACCTAATTGAAATACAAAATTAATAATCAAACGACATAATAAAATTATAGTTCTGATCTTCTAGAGGATGCAGAGCGGTCGAGGTTGTTGACAAAGTAACTCAACTAGATTTACATATCCTGTATCATAGTTATTATTACTAGAATTATTTATAAAATTTAGTACTCGTAATAAATGTATTGGGGGGGCAAAGAGTGTGCATTATGCGGTCTATAGCAAAGCTATGAGTAACCACAACGTAAACTATTGGCTAATGTAATAAATAATACTCTGTCTAATATATACAAAGTATATATTATTTTGTATAACCAATTTTTCGGAAAGGTTCGTTCAATATGATTTTGGGATGGTTCTGCGATAATTCTCATTTAAGAACTTGTACCGTACCATAATATTAAAATAATTCGCTACAGTACTGTTGAAGTTTATTCCTTCAACCCAAAGGCTCAACACGTATCCTTTGAGTTTCGAGTGGAGAGTTTAGTGGATTAAGAGGCAAACAAGTAAGATGGATCAACTATTCAGTAGCATGTTGGCCGTATCTTATTAAATGTTAATAATGGTCCGTATACAACACACTTCAACTACTAGCCCCGAAGCTGTTCGTCTTATCTCGTATGTGAGAGCTAAGATAATTGCTATTTGCTAAGTATATTCAGTTGTCAACCCCTTACAATAAAATAAATGCTACTCCGTATTATTTATACTACCAAGGGGTAGTTAGTATTGTTGATGTGGATGATTGTGGATGGCTAACTTCCAACCACTATATCTACTGCATTAAATGCGACTCCCGCCAATATCTTGGTTTCCCGTCATACTCTCGAACGAGCGTCTTGACGGCCATAGTTGGAGATCCTTGATGGGCCAAGGATGTGCTTCCGATCGTATTCCATGGGGTGCGGACGAGCGTCCTCCATACAATCAGGCGGCCTGGGTTCTGTAATGTACAAGGATGTGGATCCGTGCGGCTTGTGGATTCCAGCCGAGGATCCGCAACTTCCTAGGACAAATGTCGTCCTATTTGTAGTTCACCACGATGAGCATCTGACAATATTAACCCAACAGGTTCAATATTATATTTTTCTGGATCGTTCGATTCTGGTACAGTTCGGGACGATTCTCCGTACAGAATGGAAAACCTCATATCCGTGCTCAGCCCTAATAACAACTCTAACAATTGTGACAAACTTTGTCAACTAACTTCGTGTAAATGATTTTCAAATTCTCTCTAAAGGCTGTATTTGAAATCCGAATAATGGTAGGGAAATGGGAAAAAATACAAGGAAAACTAGACGCCAATAGAACTTTTGAACTCCTCCGTATTTAATTTATTAGTCATTTCAGCAATTTAGCATATAAATACGGAGTATATAGATTAAACGTGGATGCTGATGATTGATTAATTAAACAAAAATTTGAACATATTTTAATTTTCCCCAAATTTTCTTTTCATCCAAATTTCTCTATATTCTCCTTTTTTATTTATCTACCATTTTCCGGTTCCAAACGGACCATATTCGATTTCCTCAGTTGTTTTAGGAATTTACCATTTCCGGTTCCAAACGGACCTTAACGCTAGGGGTGTTCGCTGATTCGATTTCCCCAGTTTCTATTTTATCAGTTCAATTTATAATCAGCTGGTTTTAGAAAGATGAAGCCTGAGAACCATCCATACAACTTGAGTTAGTTTTAGTCGATTTCTATTGAGTTTTAATCGACTTCAGCACGTTTCAGTCAGTTTTTTTCATGTTCGTCAGTTCGGTCAGTTTTTAACACAAAAGCATAAACCGTATACTGAACTGTTGAGTTTTGAGTCGGTTGTGGTTTCATTCAGTTCAATTTTGGTTGGTTTGTCGGTCGCATTCGGTTTTTTCGTTTTTTAACTCCCACTTAACAATTGTGGAATACTCCATATTACATTTGATGATGATTCAGCTCACACCTTCATTACAGCTTGATGATTATAAGAGTGACATGCTAATCATAAGGTGATACATAGAAGTGAGTACATTTTATTTGAGAGCACAAGACGAGGAAGGGTTAAGCAGACACAAAGAATGACAAAAGGACTTGCCTGTTCTGCTGTTTTGATTGATCAACAATTTGCCCTTCATGGCTTCATGGGATCCTTTCCAACATTACTTTAAACACAACATATAGAGATGCATAAAACCCCACCTCATATCTGAAACAAGATTTGAAAACTAAGCCAGCCCGACCTGTCTCTCCCACCGCATATCCTCAAAAAACGGTACAATGGCTGTTCTGAGTTCACCATTGGACACTGCCAGGTAGTATCGAGCAGTTCCGTCGTCAACTCGCATACTCCTCCTCAAGATGTCGTGAGCCCTCTCAACAGACAACTGGGATTTCCATCGGGGCATCCCTCAAGATATAACACGGCCACTTCCCTTTTTGCATGGGTATCCAGCTCCACATAACATGTGCCATCCATTAGCAGATCAGGATTGCTAATAGGGATGAGTAACCTCTCCCTTGAGTATATGCCATGGTCACTCATCATGTTGTTCAAACGTTTTATATCCATAACCTACACATATATTATATAATAATATGCATGAAAAAGATTTAGAAAGTACGCTAAAAGCATTTCCTCTAATATTTTGAAGTTTAGTTAGGTATAGCATTCACAAAAAACAAAAAAGAGAGAAACAATTGGCTATACTTGAAGGTTACCAGTTCAGCACTATGCTCCCCAATTTCAAAACAAATTAATTAAAATAAGATATCTGGGGTAATGATTGCCAATGTTGTTCAATCAAAACTAATAGAGCTAATATCATTTCAATTCTGCAAAATGATAGATACTCGGGTAGATAATTGAGCTGTATGCTAGTGCATTCTATATCATCATAAACATGAAATGGGGTGGGTGGGGGAAGAAGGAGAAAGGATTATACTAGGTATAGCAATATAGCATTCACAAAAACAAAAACGAAAAAAGAGAGAAGCAATTGGTTACATTTGAAGGTTACCAGTTTAGCACTATGCTCCTCAATTTCAAACTGAATTAATTAAAATAAGATATCTGGGGTAATGATTGTCAATGTTGTTCAATCAAAACCAATAGAGCTAATACCATTGCAATTCTGCAATCAATGGTAGATACCCGGGTAGATAGATGAGCTGTATGCTAGTGAATTCTATATCATAAACTTGAAATGCATAATTTTTCTTCTTAGTTCTTACAAAAATAATACCTCACCAATCTTTTGGGAACTGCCTAGTCCTTCTTTATTGACCTAAAGATGGGAACTATTACTAATGAAGTATGATAAAGTTATGATTCCTCACATCCTTTAAAGTTACTCCAGCAAGCAGAAGATTACAGTTACTCGGAACCAAAATGTGTGCCGCCCCTGCTCTAGGTTCTATAAATTTCATCACTTCTATAATATAATGACTTAATGAGTAATACTTTTAAAGAATTAATTCAAAAATACACGATGGTGCACCTTTAGTTTGAGATCGCATCGACTCCAAACCAGTTCCACCTTCTTTAATTGTTCGATTGTTTAATTCCATCAAAAAAGTTCATAAAAGTTACCTATAGAAAAGTAAGAGAGACACAGATAGATCATACATGAACTGAGTACTTGACAGCTAGGCTAGCTAAACTATCACCACGGACAATTCGGTGAGAAATGGCGAATTTGGAGATGCTATTGTCTCTCCAGAAAGTACCCGAGCTAGGGTTTCCAATGAAGTCCTTGAGCTTCCATGGAGCCTTGAACGCCCTGGTCTTCATCTCCCTATCGGAGGCGACCGCATTCCAGAGCCTGCAAACGCACGCCGCGCGTGCTAAGTCAGGCAGCGGGAGCTTCTCGAGGATCGCGCGGAGAGTGTCCCTGCATAGCAAAGCAGGGAAATTGGAATTCATCGGGGAGATCACGGCGTCTCCGCCGTAGGTTGTGGTTGTGCCGGAAGACGAAGGGGGGTGAGTTTGGACGGTTTCCGGTGGATTCAATGGCACGAGAAGCAGCTCGTCTTCATCGTCACAACAACATCCCATGCTTTTGTGGCTCCGGTTCTTAGTGGCCTGTATTTCGTCTGTCGATATTGGAGTTCTACACAGCCATCTTCGTTGACTCTCGAAAGATAAGGCTTTGTGGTCCGATCATTCCGTTTAATTAATTAATTAATCCATAATGGCATAATCAAATATTCCTTTCCTCCTTCCAGACTATATCAACTTTCCTTTTCAATCTTTCCCAACAAAATATGTCACGTTTAAAACAATGAATTTTGAATTTAATGGATTAAACTCCCTCATGAATTTCACGAATCAGACTCATGTGATTTAAAAGCGCGTAAAACTTTCATGTGTTATAATTATTTAAGAAATTATATTAAATGGGACTAAAACATGGTTAAAACTCCAAATAAGGACTTCAAGTTTTAAATTGCCTAAATGGGACTTCACATTACACTTTTGCCCTTCTGCTATTAAAACTCATCTCTCGCCTCCTTCTGCAATTCGTCACTGGCCACGCACATTGATGACCCCTTTCTGCAATCTACGATAAATTCATCGTAGCAGCAGCTCCGCACATCCCTTGACAGCAGCTCCTTCATCGGCTATGGCCACGCACCGCAACTCCACCGTCGACCACAGGTATCCTTCTTCTTCTTCCTCTTCTTCTTCTTCTTCTTCTTCTTCTTTTTCTTCTTCTTCTTTTGTATATGAATTTCCCATCCTCTTCAAATCTGGATCCTCTGTTTTCTTCTTATTTAGATTTTCAGAAAATGACACTTTTTGAATAAGAGAATGTCATTGTTGTGTCATTATTGATCATTTTTAAAAAATGTCACTTTTATGTCATTGCAGTATTTGAAAATGTCATATTGAGAATGTCATGTATCTATACGAAATTGTCATTATTGTGTCATTATGCATATATTAAGTGGCATTCTCGCATATGAAGTGTCATTCCTCATGGAAGTCTACACAGACTCATAAAATCAACACATACAAGGACTTCATTTGAAGGCATTAAAGCAAGGTACATGCTGCTGCATATAAGAGTATGAGTAAGAAGTACTGAAGTTTTAAAAAAATTGTTGAGGCGTGAAGGTGGTGAAGGTGGTGGCAGACTTGATGGATGGTAGCAGAGCCGCCATCGGTGGAGGAGCCACCATTGGTGGAGGAGCTGTTCTTGGAGGCCTGGAATCGCACAGGGCACACCGTTTGCGCAGCAGGGGAATCACATATGCGCAGCAAAGGCCCCTGCGAACTCTTCATTAAGGGCATTTTGGGTAGATTACCTCTTTTTAGTCATATTTTTATCAAATAAAACATAGTAGTCCTGTTTTTGCAATTCTATCTAATTTTAGTCCTATTTAGGTAAATCTCTCTAATTATTTTTGCGCAAAATCCACACCGAGAACAAATTTTATAATTTTGAAATTACTTTTCTTAATAATATGATTAAATATGCAAGTAACTTTTTCAGGATTTCTAAATTATGGGAAAATACTATTCATTTTCATTTATCCATTTATTTATAGTTAAACTTGAATTTTCTTAATTCAATGGATAATGGAAACATATAAATATTAAGAAGTTTAAAAAATAGAGATTTTTAAAGAAAGTATTATTGAAATAAAATTTATTTATAAAGATAGAATTAAAGATGTTGGCATGATTACTTAAGTGTAAAGTATTCAAAGTTTATGTTACAATAACTGCACTTAAAAGATCACATTTTTAAAAAATCTTTAATTTAATCATAAATGTGTAATTACATAATTATCTTTAATTTGTAGTGTGACATTATCTTGAATCATGGTGACACGACCTTCGGACCTTGGTCCTTCTGTACATTCTTTCTCATTAACAGTTTAACTAAGTTATTAAAATTAAAATACAAAATTGAGAAAATTAAAAATAATTTTAAAAATTCGACCTGGATATTCCGGGTCGGGCTGACTCCACTAATGCCCACTTAATGGGCACCTACAGACATTGCCTTTGGTGTGTTTGTTGCAGGCCCATCGTGTCAACTCCGCCTGGAAATAAATTGTAAAAGTCCAAAGCCATTTTTGTAAAAGTGTAAGATAACAAAATCGTGATCATTTGATTTTAACTTGAACCATCGAAGATACAGGTGCTAATAGCAAAAGGTTTGGTTCCTTTTGCTATTACCAGCCCGTTTGGAGACCTCTTTTTTCGGCTTATCAGGCTTATCAGTCAGTTTTTTCACCAAACACGTAACTTTACTTTCGTGTGCTGAATTGGCTGAAGTTACTGGAGAGGACCATTTTAGCTATTTTTACATGTAATTTTTTCTTTAATTTATTAATAAAATATATTTTTAAAATATTTTTTTCTTGAATCAGCAGAATCAGCCAAAACAGTCACTTCAGCTAGAACTTCATAAATTTCAGCAGAATCAACCAAACAAGCCGATTTTCATGCTACCAAACGGGCTCTACATGTGGAAAGGTTTGGTTCGAGCAACCGGCCTTGTGGTAAAAGTTATGGGAGGAAACAAGACCAGGTTGGACTGGTTCATTCCTTTTAAACACCGTCCCATCCTCGAACCAGGTTCAGCCTTATTTCTGACTAAACATTGTAGAGTTTGATGAATCAAATAAAGGAAAGCCATTAGCATCAAATTCAATTTAAGGATGTTTTTAGTTGGGCTGGTTTCAATCCAAAAACATAACTACAGGCAAGAAATTTAAAATTTATATATATATATCAGAAATATATTAAACCAAATCAGTTGAAATCAAAAAATTTCAATCCAATTAAAAACATCCTCATTGCAATTCCATTCGCGACTTCAAAATGGGATCAAAACAGCTAACACGCAGCTAATTAAGACTTCAATATGGCCATATAAAACTAGTTGATGAAAGCCTAAAAGGACTACAAGAAATTCAACTCAAGGTAGTCGTGGCATACAATATTTCTGGACTGCATTACTAAAGATTGCATAGGGAAGAAGTGAAAGGCCAACTCATGCAACAATTTGCGCAACCTTGTCAACAAAACCTTCCAGCCTAGTCTGCTATAGATTTTCTCCGCGTTCAAGCTAGCAGCCATAACAGCTCTTGCAGGACAACAAGAATGATTAGAGAGAAAAATGAGATATCAATATATCTTAGCTGAGCTTAGACGAGCAAGCAAAATCCACTTTTCCAATAAATATTAGCAAATCACATTTCCCATCCATGCCCAAGACCATATGCATCCATATATCCAGCGTGGGCATGACCATGGCGTCCATCATAGTGCTCGTGTCCATTACTGTGGATATGGTCATGACCAATGTTTTGTTCTTCTTTCAACATCTCTTGGTCATGCTCGGGCACTGGTTCTTCCTCCGACAGTTTAATGGGTTTGGGTAAGGAGGAAACGAATTGATAAATGCTTTCAGCTACTTCATCAGCACCTTGTTCCTGAAATCAGTGAACCGCCCCCTCTCTTCAGTTATGAGACAAAAAAAAGACATCTTTATGCTAGAGATATTAAAAACAAAGTGTATAACACTTCATGTATTCTCGGTTATACATCAAAGCATGGTTTAGAGTGTGTTTAGGACAGCGGAGAACAAAGTGGTTTGAGCAAGTGAACATGAATAAGGTGTGATCTATGTTTAGGATCACTTTTGGAAATGTGGATTGAAACTGGAAAACATGGTTACTTCTGGAAGTTGGTTTGCATACATGATTTCAAATGTACTACGTATAATTATTTATTATCGACACTACTAGTAATAATCATCATTCTTTAAACACAGAAATTTTAACAAGTATGTATGCATATTCATTTATGGAAAACTTCGATTATAATAAGCCAACTTTGATTCTAATCAGTCCGCATACTAAACTTGTCACGTTGGACTGATTATTTGCTAAATCAGGTTCACTCTAAAAAAGACATGTTATATTAAGGAGTTTGGAAAGGTTAGATAATTCTCAAGAAATTGAAATGTGGGACTGTTATAAGCAGACCTAAAAACAAGTTGGATTATTGGAATCAAACTTTCCTTTCTTTATTCATACAAACAACAACAACAACATTACCCCAGTTCCGCAAAGGCTCCCACCTATGGTAGGGTAAGGAGGGGTCAGAAAATTATATATATATATATATATATATATATATATATATATATATATATATATATATATCATCATCATTTTCATTTACCCCAGCGCCGCAAAGGCTCCCACCTACGGTGGGGTAAGGGGGGGTCGGATGTACGCAGTCTTACCCCTGCACTAAAGCACAGAGAGACTGTTTCCGGATGACCCATACATATATATATATTCAATTTAAAATTGTATATATATATATATATATATATATATATATATATATATATAATTCTATGTTGAATATTAGGGTCTTTAATAATAAGTACGAGTTTATACCTAAAGGAGTTTTTGGTAGAGTGGAATGAGCAGTCCGCGTATTTGTATTCCTTCCTTAAGGTAGAGGGTTCGAAACCCAGCTCCTTCATTTTTCAGTTTTTTTGCTCTTTGCCCTTTGAAGCCTTAAACTAATTGAAAGTGGCTTTACATAGTTCTTTACTTGGTTTTAATTCTAATCTTGGAAAGATCTAAACTACATCAACATAATTACAATTTTAGTTTCATATATGATTCATAAACTTCAACAATTACTATTACATTTTTGTACATAATATAAACTAATTTTTTAATATACTTGTGAATTTACAATTTAAATTAATTATAGGTACATGCTTGACCCTTCTCTTAGTTGATTCACTTATTTATTGACATAATTTTGCACAAATTAAAAATGTCGTGTATACAATTATTTATAATGAAGTGAAATTTAAATAAACATGAAATCATAATGTTTTTGTCCAGAGAATATTTTACTATTCATAATTGATTTTACAATTTGTTTCTTAACTTGATTAGTCAGATTTTTTTAACCCAAGGACCCCAAGGTAAGTTCACCCCCGCTGACATATTTTCTGGATACGCCACTGGTCATCAAAGGAATTCGGTGTGGCATTGCAATTCTTAAGTAACAATATCAAATACCGTAATATCTGATGTCGCAGAAATGAATAGAAAAGATTGAACAAAAAATGCATGTGTGCAGCATAGCAGCTTTATCAAAATCAAACTCCATAATAGTCAATTTCTCGCTATTCAAGGTTCAATTGTGATTGAACAACACACAATATCCAGAAAACTACACTAAAATAGAATCAAGA